CAGATATTTACAATAATTGTCAGTTTTAGTTGCACACAAACCTGCACGATTGTCCATCTTATTAACCTGCACATTTCACTCCCTTCATTTCACCCTCACTTTCCTGCTTTTAGCTCGTCTGAATGCGAGCTGCGCTGGAATGCATGCAAATAACAAAACGGTTGAGGGTTATTTGCTGGGGGTTCAGCGCTCTGTAATGGGAAGTCAATTACAGGCCTGGGCAGCTCTTTGATCCCTGCGTCGCTGACATGCTTAACGGGGATGTGGGCTAGGATGTCAACCTTTATCAGCCGGTAGCCAAAACAAAAGAAAGAGAAGGACAGAGCAAGAAAGGGAGAGAGAGAGAGAAAGTAGAGAAACAGATAAGAGGGAAAAAGATCACTGAGACCCCCACATTGACATAAAACATGGGAGTAAACAGTTTTAGTGGGACTGTGCATTCAAGTGAAGGTGGAGCTGTCGCTTACGAAGACACTATCACACGTCAGCACTTGAAAGCGCCAGTCTGGGACGTCCAAGCCTTCAAAACAAAGATAATGACTATAGACGTGCTCAACGGCAGTACAGCCATACTATGAGAATGGAAAGATGTACATGTATGGTGGGAGGTTATCTGTAGGTCGTACTTTCATGCTAACTAGAGCGGATCTGTCTGAATCCTTCTTGACAACTGAGAAATTACTTTTGTTAATAACAAACCCTACCAAACTGGTCTTACGTCTCAAGGACAATAAAGTATATGATGGTAGTGGATGAGAAAAACTGAAAAATGTTAAGAAATCCTGATAGTGTAAACAGAGCAACAAAGATTATCCACACTCAACAATACTTCAAGCAGAAAATTTTTAAAAACATCAAATAAAATAAACAAAAAAATAAAGAAAGAAAAAGAAAAGGAAATAAACAAAACGGTCTCAAATGATATTCATTTAGATATTTAATTTTTTTATTATTCATTAAATTTTTTTTAATCCATGTATAACTTTTTTATTCAGTCTTATGATGTGAGACTAATGAGACTAAAATGAGATCTGTGACTCAGCTGATTGTGAACACCAGAAATGAGTGCATGAGCATCATGAGAAAATTAATCATTACACTGACAAAGGCAACCATAGCCGGAACATTTGCTTTTACTCCTGTTGTATTGTTTAATAAACTATTAAATGTGGACCATTTTTGATGCTTAAGAAACTTTGCTCCTCGCCGCAAAGACTTAAATATATCTTATTTATATTTGCGGAGTTCCTGCTCTTTATTAGAAACCTTTTTCCAAGACATTTCCAGGAGTTTTTACAAGTAATTCATGATGGAAGTTGGTCCCAAACATTCATACAGGGGTGCGTTTCCGAAAACCATCATTAGCAAACTAAGGACGCAAGTTGGGTCGTTACAAACAGTTAATTGATTTAACGTTTCCCAAATGCACCGTTCCAGTGAACGAGTCCCCCCCCACACTATAGGTGACCTATTATTTACATTATGTCTACAAAGTTTGTGAAAACAAATATATACGTATATCATACGTTAATGCTTTTAATTTATAGTAGATAGTAGGTTGTTTATTAGGAAAAGTATCACTATATGACATGGGTCTTTTGTTTAGAACATTTCTGCAGTGGTTTGAACATGTCAAATTGTAAAAGTAGACTTTTACAGTAAATAAAATAAAAAAAATAAACAAACAATATCCTTCTTAATAATAATAATAATAATAATAATAATATGATTTTTGAATACATGTTAGCTTAGTGATTTTCTATGGAATATCCTCAATAATATTTGTAAAGGAATCATGTGCCCTATATGTCCCATTTAAATATATTTTAATTAATATGAAAAGCGAGTGCATGTGTTTACCAAAACTAATATAGAATTTTTTTTTAAATGCATTTGTGGGTAAAACAATATAATTTGCACAAAATTATGGGTTTCTTCTGTAAAGAAGTTTTTACTCCACCCCGTTTAGAGCATCGTTATGGGCGTTTTACGTTATAACTATTGTGGTTCAAAAGATAAATCTGCCACAGAGAAACTACAGTTTTTGGGAAACACTCGTCACTACATCGTTCTTTTCCCAAACGATGCACCGTTCTATGAAAGTTCAGCCGCAAGTTATGTTGTTTTTTTGAGAAAAAAGCACCCAAGACTAGTTGCAGGCTGACTACTGAATTCAGTAACTACCAATACGTATCCTGTGAGAATGGTTTAAAGCCTGAATGTTAATGAAGTGGAGAGGCAGTTGTGGTTAGGGGTGTACAATATTATCATAAATCTTCTTTTGTTTTGTTTTTTGATTGACTGCTTTAGTCTTAAACAATTAATATACTGTTCTTCAATATACTGTTTTACTTAATCAGTATTTTATTGGCATTTTGAAAGAAAGTCATGCAAAATAAGGTAGTTTTCAGCAGAAACAATTCCAACAGAACTTTTTTTTTTCTTTAAAATTTTGCACAACCCTAGTAGTGCCTATAAAAGTTCAAAATGAATACATTTGACATGAAAAAAAAAAAAAAAAGGATAACCGTGAATAAGAGAAAAAACATAACAGACCAACATGACCAGCCATTTTGTTTTGGTGACTGGGGAAAGGTAGAGGGCATGGAACTCCTCCAAAGTTGGTAATAGCAGAAAATTTTGAGAAACATTGCTGTTCCTGTTCCTTCATTTGTACTTTAAGGAAAATATGATTATTAAACTGGATACACTTAGCAATCATTTATCAATTAAGCTAATTTATTGATTTCTGTATCCAATGTGCTTTTAATACCAACAAATGAACGGCAAACACTGATCAAAATCATGTTTGACATACTACAAGCTTCATAGCAACAATACCATGTTTACTTTTATGTGAATAATTTCCCCCTCGATACAAATGATCAAATTGTTTTCATTAGCTTGCACTGGGCAGATGGTTTGACTCACAGGTGTGTTTTATAAACGTGTGTTTTTGCTTTGTTTTGGCTCCGGTGAACCCCCAAAAAGGCCGGCAGGGGATGAATTTTCAGCAGCTGTGGAGCAGATCAACCCTTCATGTGTTTAATGGAGAGCGTCCAGATCAGATTCTGAACAGATCCGTCCTGTAGATGCCTATCGAGGGGAAGTATGCCGTTCTGCTCTAATGAGACCAAGGGGTCAAGAGTTAACAAGCGCAAGTACATCCAGGTCGGCCTGCGTGACTGCT